GGGGGAATATTGTGTGTGTAGGTAATGAGTAATTGACTGCAGTCAGAGAGAGACGTATTGTTGAAGTTAACGTTCGTTCGTTATTATAGTTTGTTATAACGCGACTGTTGAAAATAATGTATCGTAAAGTTGTATTCGGAAAGAATAAACCAGTTTTATTAAGTAAGGACTTGTGTCGCTAAAGTTTCATTGGAACGAAGTTACGGAAAGTTAATTAACAAACGGAGACGTAACACTATTTTGGTTGATTTTATTATAGAATAAACGAGTTTGTTAGTCAGTTCATCTATAACCTCATTATTTATGAATATTTAGTTTGTGTTTCGACTAAAAGATACAAGAAAATTAGCAAGTAAGCCACCGTTTGTCGTTATTTGCGATGTTATACACATATCGTTTGTTTGTTTGAAGTTAAGCACAAAGCTACACAATGGGCTATCTGTGCTCTGCCCACCACGGGTATCAAAACCCTGTTTCTGGCGTTTTGAGTCCGCAGACATACCGCTGTGCCACTGGGGGGCGGAACGCATCGTTTAATTTCATTTGTTGTTAAGTGCAAAACTACACAATGTGCTGTTTTTTTTTTCTTAGCGTTGTAAGCACGCAGATTTTCCGCTGAATCACTGGGGTGTGTTAGCTCATGAAACCCTGTGCTTGTAGTCGAAGAAATAAAATGGTTTTGTTATCATAATATGAACTGGAATTTGTCTTATTTCCTTATCGAATAATCTAAAACAACCGGCCTAACAACAGAAACCGATAAAAAGACAATTCTTACCAACTACTGCTGCCGTTTTGATATTTTTAATTTTCGTTCGTGATCGTTTTGAAGAAACATTTAGTTTTCGTTTCGACTTTAAGTAATATCTTTTCGTTAACGAAAATATCGTTGATACACAATACTCAAAATAACGCCGTACAAAAACAAATATATATCTGAACTTCACTGGTAAACATTACCGAATTAAACCTGGGATGAGCATAACTATTTGCGCTGTTTTTATTAATGAAAAGTATCTTTCATTGCTACAGCTGCTAAAACCTGAGTAAGACCGTCATGTGCTTAAGAAACCATGCGTTTTCTTCACACTACATGTTCCAGCAATGTGCAAAACAATATCACTGGCTAGACCGTTGGATTATACTGCACTAAGGCTTCAGCAAAGTTATGTTACTTAGTGCTAGAAATGGGCCTGTACTTGCCGGTGTGCAGTACCCGCCTTTTTATATTCTAAAGAGTTGCCTACCAACACTTCTAATCATAGCTAGAAATATGTATCTAAGTGCGTACCACACAGTTTTTTTCCTCCTTTTATCAGACTTTTATGCGAACCAGTACTTTTAATTTTACATTTCAATCACTGATGTTACTAGAATCTAAAAGGTTTCGAGACGATTTTAGCATGTCATATGAAGCAGACACTTTCCTAAGACAATGTGCATTCTCAGAGAAAAGTACAGATAGTGTACAACATCTAAGGAAGTCAGTGTTTTTTTGCTTTGTTATACAAGAGACCACAGCAAGATCGAAGGAAGTCAAGATTTGTTCGGTTCCGTGAACAATGGCCACAACAACAAAGATATTGTTACGTCTCCGTTTGTTAATTAACTTTCT